AAAAATCACCCCACCTCACAAGCCCAGATTCCCTTTCAAGTTCCCCTCCATTATGTGTTTTCTTTTTTGCATTCCCCCAGTTAGGGACGGATTCAGAATTTTTTGTGGAAGGGCTGAAAGTACTTAACAAAATCAATGCAATAAAATTTGTATGTACTAAAAAAATTCATTAAAGAATATTATTTATTTAACTCGTTCCCCACGAGAATTTGAAACATAATATTCATCTATAATAGAATCTAGATCGATTTTCTTAGCAAGTTCTCTTTCTATAAAAAATATCATATAATCAGCAAGAAAGTCATCATCCATTTTTGTTGCGAAATGTCGTCTTTACATGTTTCATAGCTGAACATGCTCACTCGGTGCTTGGGGCAGAAACAGGTATGTCAATACAAGACGAATCAATCTAGTTACCATAATGTAATTTTTCGACGTTCTACTCTCAGTCAACTGTCTGCATAACTCAGTGAGTGTAGACACTTGAAATCGAGGCTTACTCTTCATATCTAACTCATAATGTGGTAACTCAAATTCTAATGTAATAATTTCTTACTTTGAAAAATCTTGAGGATAGAATTTCTCTACAAGTGTGCAAATTTTACGATTGTCAAATGATCTAAATGAATCTTTAGGATCCAAAGCAGCATTGAGAGAAATGAGTTCTACTGTTATGTCATTAAATCTTGTACTTAACTCCATCTTCACAAAATCTATTGATTCATTGAAGACATCACAGTGATAATAATGATAAACTGTTGTTTCATCATTAGAACTACCAATGTTATACAGACCTTCTAGATTAGGTATTGTAATATCATTTCTTGAGCAAAAAATTTTTACTTCTTGAAGAAACTCTTCCTAACCAACATCTCTCAATTTTTGAAGCAATTGTTTTATAGTAGACACAAACCTTAAATTAGCTAAGATGTCTTGGGGTTTTTTTTTTGAATGGTGACAAAGAACATCAGTGATTCTCATAATTCTATGGATCAAATGCAAGATAAATATAAACTTAAAACTCACCAACTTTTTGTAAGCACCACGAGCTTTAGCCAAAGATCTGCCATTTGAATAATGGTCACAAATATATTCAAGCACTTTGCGGGTTGCACCATACATATCTATCAAGCTCTTTACAGAGTCGTAATGTGAACTCCAACGAGTAGCTCCTAACCGCTGCAAATTAACCATTTGCTCCCCATCAGCAATCATACGCTAAATTTCCTCTCTATGAGAAGCTTACAACTCAGTAACTCGTTTAGGAGAAGAAGTAATAATATTGACAATCTTGTCTAAATGAGAAAAGAAATTCCAAATGATAGGGACATCTTTAGCTACTACGACCAATGTCAACTGTAACCAATGGGCAAAACAATGGGCGTAGTATATATATTCACAATCTCTAAGAAATAATGCTTGAAGTCCATTCCAAGCACCGCGCATATTACTAGCACCGTGATACCCTTGTCGTCTCATTTTGTTCACCTGAAGTTCATATTGAGTAAGAACACTACATATTTTGTTTTTGAGATTCAATGACGTGATATCACTAACTCTTTTCATTGCAATGAAACATTCTATCAAACTGTCATGACTATTCACAAACCTCAAGATAATGGCCATCTGTTCTCGATTAGATGTATCTTGTGCTCCATCACCAAGAATGCAAAAGCATTCATCCCCAACTTCCTCTCGAATCATTCGTCATACTCTGTTGGCCATAATATGCAAAATTTCTTTCTGAAAAGTTGGAGCAATGTATTGGGCATTTTGTGGTGCATTTTCCAATATAACTTTACTAATTTCTGGATTCAAATATGCCGTGTACTTTATTAGTTGTATAAAATTCTTACGATTAAGAAAAGATGGTGATTCATCGTTACCTCTGAACCCTAAACCTTGAAATGCTATCCATTGAACACTTTTAATTGAACTCATTATACGCAAACAACGTTTATGATGTTCTTCTTCCAATACAGTATGCATCACCTTGTCAATATGCTGAGACAATCTGATTAAATCTTTAGCTCTAGTCTCACACAGTTTATGATATGATGAATTATCATGAATAAGAAATGCACACTTGCTTTCATCCTTAACCATCTTCCAATTATTATATCCTTCGATAACCAATCCCGAATATCCAGATGAATTGTCATCTTTCTGAAAAAGAAAACAATAAAAATAATATGCCCTTTCAGTAGTAGGAGAATACTCCAACCAAGGAAATTCATCGAACCACTTTTTTTGAAAGCGATGGGCTTGCTTCTTTCCTTTTATCCTTGGATACTCGTTAAGCTTCAGTTGATAAGGTCCAACTTTTATATATGAAATTCTAATCTCATCTCGTAAATTGATGGAATTTTCAAACATTTGCTTTTGTTTTCCCAGATTCCATTCAATACTAGTACATGATTGCAATTCAGAAATTGAGACTGATGAATGTTCAATTTCTGGAAATGAAATTGGAGGATGTTGCATAGGACTTGTGACTGAAAGATGTTCAATTTCTGGAGATGTACATATACTTTCACTAGATTGCCCCGTCTTTTTAAAGAATGAAAATGTTGTCTTTATTCTCTTTGATGAATGTTGAGCTTCCATTTGTAAAGGCTCAAAATAATAGAAAGAATAAATGAAAAGGTTCTCAAGAGACTTTAAAAATAATATCTTTTTTCGTATTGGGTTTGGTTAGTGATACTATCTACTGATCAGATTCTCAAGAAAAAGGTAAGAGAGGAGAATTCCATAGGTAACAAATTTCAAAAAATTGGAATGACTTGTAAACCAGTAACTACAGTCAGTCATATGATGAGTTTGATCGTTAAAAGCTATTACATCTGTGTATGTTAAAAGGTATTTTGGCTCCCTAATAGCATAATAGAGATCATTAAGGCTACAATGTGTAAGCGTAAGGGAAACAAATCCATACCTAATACCAATACAACTATATTTAATAACGAATTATCAGAAGTCCATTTATCAGAGAAGCAAAATTATATTTTATCCTACCCACAATAATAGAATTTAGAATTTCATCCATAGGGCATGCATGTGAAAAACCTTGTTAATACCAATCACCAGAGATTATGGAAAAAAGATATTGTACAGAACACACCCAATGATTCTATTTTTAATCTTATATACCATATAAAAGATGCACTATTATCCAATTACAACAAGTTCAATATTTCTCACAAAATCAAAGTGTTGGAATTATGAAACAAAATTTAGAGAAATATTATTTATTTCGAAACATCATCTCAAATCATTTAGCTCCTCTGTGAATAAATGAACATATTGACCCGATCACAATTGAGGTAGCATAAATACAATAGTGGCATATGAAATGACACAAGTACAACAACCACGAGGGAGAAAGAGAAAGAGGGTATACCGGTCTCGGAAGCAAAAATCTAGCTCGCCTGTTGAACACTCAAAGCCTTTCCACAACTCATTGACCTCCTGCTCGTATCACATAGCCATCAGAAACTCTCAAACAATGAAACAATCAAATAAGATAATTAAAAGAATTCGATAATACCCAATGAACAAAACTAGTAAGAAAAAATTAGGAACAGGTTCGACTTGAGAAAATACCAAATATAAATTACTAAACCAGCAAGAAAAAAACCAACATATGGGAATTGCAATTTTAATTCAATTTTAGGGTTGAATTGGCTGCTCTTTGAAGTCTTGAATGAGAGTTTGATATAATTATATAATGATATTTAGGTTGAGTTATAAATAAATTGGATTGGACTTTTGGGTAATGGGCTAAATTTTTTAATACCAAAAAAATAAAATAGAACTAGTAACTTGGATTTGGGCTAGACCACCCCAATTTGTCCCTGCCCCCAGTGAATCATGTATAGTACGCAGGCTTTAGTGACGATTGAGGGCGAAATAGGTGGTGCGGATCTATGTATGTGGTGGGGTGTGTGTGCGGTGCATTGTTACAGTATGTTTGACGGTGTGTGGTACTATGTGGGTAGTGGTGGTGATGCAGTGGATGTTTTCGGTGGAATCTATTGCATGTAGAGGCTAAAGTCGTTGGGAACAGAAATGCAGTGTAAGAAAAGCAACTTCACTGGCTCTACAGCCTCTATTACAATTATATATGTGTATGTATGTGTGTTGTGGTCCAAAGTTTGAAGGAAAATTGAAATTCAGCATGTGAGGCTGTCGCTCGAACGATAGGCCAGCGTGGGCAAGTGACAAGCTCTCTGTTTTTGGCACTTGAGCAACGCACAGGCAATAAGCGAGTGATAGCAAAATGTTGCGACCCTTGGCTAAGATTGCTTTTTTTTTTTTGGGCGTGTCTCTCCACTACACTCCTTCACCTTTTATATATCCCTAGGACATTCATTCACTACAATAAAATGTACTTTATTGCATGCCGTAAAAACCTCTTTACGGCATGCGGCCGCATGCTGTATAAAGCCATACCGTAAAAAATGGTTTACCTTTTACGGCATGCAAAGTATGCCGTCTATGGAACGCCGTAAATTACTTATACGGCATTCAGTTGCATGTCATAAAAAGTATCTCACTTTTTAAGACGTGCTAAAATGCATGCCGTAAAAAGTGTTGCACCTTTTACGGCGTTCAGCTGCACGCCGTAAAAATTATCTCACTTTTTACGGCGTGCTAAAATGCATGCCGTAAATGAGTTTTACGGCATTCAACTGCACGCCGTAAAAAGTATCTCACTGTTTACGACATGCTTATGCACATCGTAAATATCATTTTAATTTTTAAAAAATTATTTATTTATTTGATTGCCAGCAAACCTATAATAATAACAAAATAAATTTAATCCATAAATAATCAAGGTTTCCATTGTTTTGATAAATAAAAATATTGAATACGGTTCAATACAGTATGATAATGTAAAGTTCATTTCTACAATTTTCAAAAACCTACTATTTAAAAAAAATGAGTGTAACTAGAACTTAGTTTTTGGATCTGGATATGCTAACGCCTTCACAGGCACTCTAGAACTGACGAGCACTCTCAAGAACCCAGGTCAGTTGGTTGTCCAGTCCTCCAACCAGGGGTATGGTTAATGCACCACCTTCACATCCTTCTTCCTTCGATATCCCTATGTAAGGTGCTCCTTCTGTTGGAACTATGATATTCATGAATGTGAGACAAGCCTATACACTGAGAACTTTGGATGGCAAGATCTTTGTAGATCATTGATCAAAGAATTGTATGATTGTATCCTCCATTAGCAAGATTCTGCTTAGGACTGGAAGAAATACTTGAACTGGCAATACTGCCATTTCCAACAAATTTGGAAAGCTCTACATTCATTTCAGAAATTTTCTTGACTTTTTTCTCTTGGACCTGTTAAAATCAAAACACAAGAATTAGAATCATCACGTAACTTAACTGAAACAGTTATAAACAACAAAAAGCGACCAACTGAAACTGATTATTCACTTTAAAATTGGGCAAACGGGAGATAGCAAGTGATATGAAACCTTAATTGACAGAAAATTGATCATAGAACATAAAATCTGCAACACCATAATAGTATACCTTCCCTTCGGAGTTTGGTACCCTTAAAAAATAAAAACCACCTGATACCAATCATATATATCTGCAACTGAATACAATCTAAGGCCAGCAACATTTGCTAGATATATGAAAATTTAGACAATGCACTTACTACTAACAGAAGAAAACCAAGGCATATTGCCTTATAAGTAAAATCGCTAATCTTAATTAATGTACACAGAGACCATAGAGAACAAGACATTTATCAGGTAATAACCACAATCTTAAATTATAACCTAAAAAAGCCAGAGAGACAAGATCAGATGCAGTAAGAACTAAGAGTATCAAATCACTCTTGTTCAGTCTAAAATTTCCATTTTACTAGCATGAATATGCTGCACTAGGAAAATCTAAAATATACACCTTTTCACATCACAATCAAGAATAATGGCGAAAAAAGAAGTGAAGCTAGACATGCCACCTTCCAAAACTTATGGTTTTGTCGTTAGTGGACAGAAGAAAAAGCACACCATTAGTTGCTTGGCACCACTCAGTTAAAGCCTTGTTAGACAGACATAAGAAAAATGGTAAGAATGCTATCAAATTAATTATCTCCAGAATTGTTGAATTAGCTGTCTGGCACCACTCAGTCAAATTGTTGAATCAATTTTTTAAAACTCCTGAATTTCAATTACTTTTAAGCTATTTTAACAACCCATAAGACTTATAATAGATGCTACTATGTCATATTTGTATTCAAATTCACATTGTCTTTAACAGAACCACTCGGTCTTAAGTCCACCCCTTGTGTAAAGCATTCCTCCTAAATTACCACTGAACATGAATTGAGGATAAAAGACTATGGAATAGTAATCGCAATATAGGGGCATCTGTTAAGGCAATTAAAATTTGTGAAACCAGAATACTACAAAGAAAACTAGCTTATTGGGAAATCACCTTATAGCTTTTGTATTGTTGACATGAACTGAAGTAAGTGGGCCAGTATGACCTTCTAATTCATCTGTACATATTCCAGCATCTTCCCATTATCCTAAGAGGTATCAACCAAATATAATTGCAACGTCAAATTCCCAATTATAAATAATTACATAGAAAATAACAACGATTTATCGATTGACATATATATAGTGTTACCTTCCCAAACCATCATAGCATCCAGTCAAAATGAACCTGTCACAGAAAATACAGAAAGGCTCACCACATTGCTGATGTTCAATAGTTCTATGAAAAAAGCAACAAACACCGCTTCTTAAACACATTTACAGCAAAAATGCCTTCGGAAAGGAGAAAATCTTCAAGCAACATTTGAAGAAATTTTCCATCGATTAGGAAATCAAAGGCTGGTACTGCCAATCATTAACTCCTGTACCTCAATGGAATAAAAATCATAAACAAAATCAATATAATTTAGGTGCTTCAGTCTGGCAACGAAAAGCAAGCAAATTCAATAAATCCCTTCCTCACCCTCTCAAATCTACCTTCCCAATCCTCCGACCACCGCCGCAAAAACCCATTACCACCACAACAACCTGCTCCTATACCCCAACCCTGCCATCGACCGCTTAATCTCCGCTGCATCCTACTTCCTCCCCTTCTTCAACGACCTCCAATACGGCTGCTTCCTCTTCACCAAATACCCACTCAATTCCCTTCCAACCCCTCCATATGGAGCCTTCACAAGAACAATACTCACAATCCCATAAACAAAACATGACACCACAAATGCAAAAATCCCGAAATGTGCCCACGCCGTTTGTCTTTAGCCCGATTCCGCTTCGACCCGGAGAAATTATCCTTTGTACAAGCATCGACACCACAAGCAGTACGTCGAGTACCAATGCCCAAAGGGCGTTGAACCGCACGTAGTAGCTCAGCGAAGGATTTCAGACAATGCCCAGATAAAGGGCGAAGAAAGAGATGAAGCTGGCATAGGGGAAGAGTGGTAGAGAGATAGGAGAGGGATAACGGGCTGGAAGGGAATTGATAGAGAGAGGCGGATAAGAGGGAGTGAGGCCATATTGGGCGACGGTGGGTTGGGAAATTAGGGATGCTTTGTACCGTGGAGGAGCTGGGTCAGTGGGTTGGGGGAGAAATGAAATGGGTTTGAATTTGGTTTTGTCAATTTTCAACTTTTTGCAATTTTTTACGGCATGCAAGAACGCACGCCGTAAATCACAGGAACAAATGGTTTTGTACGGCGTAAATAGTTTTTTGCATTTTTTTACGGCACGAACAAACTATTTTTACGGCATGCACAAATGCACGCTGTAAATAATAGGAACAAACTATTTTTTACGGCATGCAAAGAATATATGCCGTAAATACTTTATGCAATTGATCATTTATGGCACGCATTTGTTGCACGCCGTAAAAAGTCGCTTTTTACGGCATGCGTCAATTGCACGCCGTAAACGTATGCCGTAAAAAGTCACGCCGTAAAAAGAGACTTTTTACAGCACGCCTCAAGTGCACGCCGTAAACGTATGCCGTAAAAAGCTATATTTGTTGTAGTGATTATTGATTCTATTACATTTTTACACTTTGGTTTTGCTTAAGAAACACTTTGTAGAAGTGATTTCTTTTTGCATCAAAATCATGGTTATGGTAGATAGGAAACTCCATTCAATTTCCTTGGTCTAAGCCATTTCGAGTGCTTCTATGGATAGATGTGATTGTTGTTTTGAGAGATGATTGCTGAAAAACCTTTAGCACCGATGCAAGACAAATTCATCTAAGGAGAAAATGTCAGACGCTTGCCTCGATCAATCCATTCATTTTCACTTCCTATTTTATTTTCTGATTTCTTTGAACTTGAAATTTAATTTTAGAAAAACTAACTATTCTTTTGATTATAGGAAATGTTTTTCGTTGAAGAATGGAAAAGATAAAATCCGGCGTAACGTATTTGGTTTCGGTAATTATCATTTCACCTTTTCAAATCCTATTTTGGTAAGTTGAAACCATGTTTGATTTTGTGTACGTAAAATGTACGTTTTGAGAATATATAAAGGAAAAAGACGTTTGTAGCTATATTGAGTTAATGTTTCAATAGTCATTGAACTTTGCACCATGTCGCGATTTACTCATCAAACTTTATAAAACGTCTCATTAACCACCGAGAGTAAAAATGAACTCTATTAATAAAGCCGCTGATGTGGATGATGGAAAAATGATGTGATCAGTTAAATCGTCCAAATGTAAGTCTGATGTGGATGATGGAAAAATGATGTGATCAGTTAAATCGTCCAAATGTAAGTTAATTGACAAGTCATCACCACGTCAGCAATCTTCCAAACACAGCTTACTATAGGAAAAACCAATAAACCTCCGTTTGTTTCTCATTTTTCATCCATAAAAATGAAAAATATGACTATTATCCATCACATCAAGCCTTAATTTTGAATTGCTATCTTTTGTGTAGGGTCCAATAACGACTATATTTTTCATTCTCATTCTACAATAATGAGAATCAAACGAGGTTTAAATCTCCAAACCCTAAGGTCATGAAATCCATTCCACCCAAATCAATTCCTCTCTCGCGAAGTCTCTAATGTCGTGAAATCCATTCAATTCTTCTCTCACGCGGATTCTCTGAAGTTTCTATTGTGGTATTCAACTTTTGCAACATAGTTGGGACAATTAATTTGGGGTTTATAGTTGAAAATATTTGTAATTTTTTTTTTGCCCATTTTTACTGCTATCGCCGTTTACTTCTATGTTGTTCTTGAATACGTTGCTGCTAAGGTTCGTAAATGTGATTTTAATTTTTTGTTGTGTTTGTGTACAAAATTATACCTGATATTTGCTGATTTTGTAATTTGAATTTTTTACTTTTAGTTATTGGAGCTTGTTGGGAATGCTGCAAGAGACAACTACAAGTGGCAATTTTCAGCCCAATATTCATCGAACACTCATGTCGAAGAAGAATGTCGGGAAGGGTGAAATTGGGTTTGATTCACAAGAATTTTAGGGATTTATTTTTGAATGCAAAATAGGGTTATTGGGTTCAAATTGGTTGAATTATTTTTTCTTTTAGATGCTTAGTTTTGAAATGAAGTACTCTTGTTTCTGGAATTCATTTCTCTTGTAGTACTATCTGTGGTGATGTTTATATGGTAATTAATGAAATGAAGTACCCTTGTTTCTTGAATTCATCTCTCATGCAGATCTTATGTGATAAGATTTGTTGAGTAATCATGTTTAGTCACTTGTGTGAAACTGATTTTTTCCCTCACTTGTGTGTTGGTTGCTTAGTGTTACTGCTGGAAGTGGTCATGCTGGTGTCGTCGAGTTTACTAACGTCAAAGAATTCTTGCCAGTTCAGGTCATGGAAATGCAACTATGATAACTGACTTCTACTAGGTATCTTGTATAGTTTTAATTTTTTTTTAATAACCGTAGATGTCAGGGCTAGCTTACGCGCACCTCGACCAATTTCACGAGGTCCTGAAATTTACGACCGGGTACTTACCTCAGTGGCCACGAGGGAATTCAAACAGGTGGCTATTGGGGAGCAAACTCAAAACATGACCAATTGAACAAACTCAATGTTAGTATAGTTTTAGTTTCACAACCTAAATTTGGTTGCTAGTTTGGTCAAGTGAAATGTATGATCACTTGACATGATTTTAATTTTCTCATGTAATTTTGACCCTCCAGAACTGTGCAACTTTGCATCACATGCCAGTCCACTCTTGTAGGACATATATGGTTTATAATCAATATTCTCAATCTGACTTTGATCGCGGGGCCTTGAAATTTACGGTCAGGTACTCACCTCAGTGGTTTTGAGAGGATACGAACTTGTGACCATTGAGGAGCAAACTCAAGACCTGATCAATTGAACAACCCCTCAAGGTTAGTATAGTTTTAATTTCACAATCTAGATTTGGTTGCTAGTTTTGTCGAGTGAAATGTATAATCACTTGACATGATTTTAATTTTGTCACTATAATTTTGACCCTCCAGAATTGTGCAACTTTTCATCACATGCCAGTGCACTCTTGTAGGACACATATGGTTTGTAATCAACATTCTCAATCTGACTTTGATCACACGTATTCCAATACAAACGTATCCAGGGGTGGACGCAGAAGTATAAAGTTAGGGGACACAATCGAACTTACAAAAAAATTGGGAAAAATTTTACAATCAAAAAGTTACGTCCAAAAAATCATACCCCGTGTAATTTTACATTCAAAAATTTACATGAAATATGACTTTTTCGAATGTAAAATTTCGAAAAGTTTGATGTTATATTCTATATAAAATTTTCTAATAAAATGATGAAAATTATATTGAGAAATTTGTATTGCAAAAATAATAAATATTAATGAAATAATTGAAATTATTTTTTAAAAAATGCGAGTTAAACGCGTTTATTTAAGGCTCACGTTTAACATTTTTTAACTATTTTCGATATTTGTTTGGACTATTCAATATGCCTATAATGTAGTTCTTGAAATAAGTTTTGAGATGACATAAGCAATTTGTAGATTCGATTAACGTACGATCATTGGAGAATTTTAAAGTTAGCATGTTATCGAAATTTCGAAATACTAATTTTGAACGGCATGTTTTGACAAGTCGTAACATTTGCTACGATTAATCATTTTGTACGCCATTAACGACGTAAAATACTAGACCGTGAGTACTTCAAAATGGTATTAAGAATGCAATATTTCGATTTCATTTCACAT